AACATACATAAAAAAAAATCGCGACGAATTGAGAACCTCCTCCTTTTTTGAAGTCTGTTAAAAATAACACAAACAAGTTTCAGATTAAAGGCATTTTTAAATTCTTACTTTAGTTTGCGTGTCTTTTAAAAAATATGTTCATTTAGGTTGGAAGAATGTTAAGAATGCAGGGTATTCATCCCTATCATTATCAGCGTGTTCAAGCCTTAAGACCCCACGACTTTTTACCACGAATGGAGTTTAGTGAATGGATAAGAAACCATCAGGAACTGCTTCTTTTTATTATGTGGAGCGACGAGGCTACATTTAATAGAGATGGTGTTTTTAATATTCACAATCACCATTTTTATTCACAAGAAAATCCTCGGGTGGTGCGACGTCGATTTTTTCAAGATAGATTTTCTATTAATGTTTGGGCGGCAATAATCAATGACAGATTAATTGGGCCGATTAAAATTCCTGCTCGGTTAAATGCAATTGAGTATCTGAATTTTTTACAAACCCACCTTGAACCCATTCTGGATAATCTCCCATTAAATATTCGACATCTGCTGCACTTTCAGCACGACGGAGCGCCAGCCCATTATGGCGTTAATGTGAGAAATTGGCTAAATGAAAGATTTCCGGGTAGATGTATAGGAAGAGGTGGTCCCATACCGTGGCCACCTCGATCTCCTGATTTAAATCCATTAGATTATTACTTTTGGGGTCGTATAAAAGATATGGTATACGCTACAGAAATTGACAGTGCGGAAGAGTTGCGTGAAAGGATACGTTTGGCAGGGAATGAAATACGGCAAAATAATTTTGAAGTAATGCGAGCTTCACATGCAATTACCCGTAGAGCCGAAATGTGCCTTCGTCAGCAAGGCAACGTTTTTGAACACTTACTTTAAATGTTGTATAAATTGATATTTTTAGTAGAATTTTTGTTATTTTTAATAGAATTTTTGTTATTTTTAGTAGAATTTTTAGTAGTATAGACAAAAACAATTTTTGAGAATCATTTGTTTATCTTCGTCATTTTGACCTACTTTAAGTCATTCTTAGGAAAATAAAAGTAGATACTTCACGTTAAAAAGCTTAAAATTATTATCAAATAGCATTTGCAATAATTAAAAGTAGGTAACTAATGATTTCTTCTCTAACTCAGTCAAACTTCATATTTTCAAGAAATTACCAGACATTCTTAATTTCAAATACAGTTTTGCTATAATTTTACGATATTTAACGTATCTGACTTATTTTTACCATCCTAAGGATTACCCTAAAAGAGTTTAAACGTCGGCAGTTAAAGAAATAAATTCTCATCAATCATTTTATTGGGCAAAAGCCAACCAAACCATTAAAAAAAAACAATTGATTAGTTTAAGTTTAAATACTATTTAGTTTTACCATTTAAAGTTTCTTTATAAAATAAACATTAAATTAAAGCTAAATACATTTCTTTAGTCACCGGTCTTCCAAACCTGAAAAAAAATTCTGATTCCACAGGCCTGCTAATTAATTATTGTTTGCACTTTCGAATAAAATAATATGAACTTATCATAAAATTTTTAAATGCTTTTTTCTTGAAAATGGTGCGTCCTAGCGAGATGCAACAAGAGTAGCTTTATTGTAAAGAAAACATTGGGTTTCCAAATTTTTTAGTCAAAAATGTTAAAAACTGACAACAAAAAAACAGGGCAATTTTACCTTAAGCCCCCCCTAATTTACCCATCTATGAAGATGATCAAAAATTAAGATTAGGTCCATTACATAGAGGTAAAAAGGTAAGCATTTGTACTAAATTTAATTTAGTTATCTTTAAGCGTTTAGAAAATATTTACAAAAATGTGTCATCAGGACTTCACTTTAAACACCCTGTATCTCGGAAAAGAAACGTTTTCGGACCTATGTTTATATGAACTTTTACTCCTATTTTAGGATTTAGATTACGCTGTTAAAATATGACCGTCTAATTTCGGGACGCCCTGTATATTATACAGGGTGATTCATAACTATTGGGACATAGATTAAGGGCAGGTTATTTAGATCAAAATATGGCGATAGGACCAAATATACCTTAATAAAATATGGCTGTAGAATAAGATACAGGGCGTTAAAGTTGAATTTTTTTTTTCGTTTATATTTATGAATTGTTATCAAAATCGGCTCAAAGGCATATCTTTGGACAAGGGATATTATTTTATGTATTATTTCACATTTTTTTTTCGCGCAGCAACATTTTCAAGTAGCTGTTACTCAAAAAGTAAAAGTCCAATATAAAAAATATTTCCCTCAAAAATTTCTTATTTTTTTATGTACTTTAAGAATATGTAAGAAAAAAATGGGATTCCCATTTAAAAAAACAAAGTTCACCTCGATATAGCAATATTATGGTCAGCTATAAAAAAATTAATTTAGCCAAAATGATTCCCCCAAAAAACTATAAAACTTTTGTCTGAAACTTTTTTTTCTAAAATGCATATTTTCGACGGTATTTAACTGTAACACTTTAATTTGAACACCCGGTATAAAGGGTTTTTTGAAGTTATACTCTTCCAAGATTGATCAAGATTTTTCATTACATCTTTTAAATTATACTGCTTCAAAAGGATGACTAAGTCTTTATCTTTATGTGAAGTGATATGATTGAGAAGGCGTTTCCTATATGATACCTTTATATTCTGGATTAAATTCTGATCCATCGGCTGAAGAACTGCCGTACAATTTGGAAGCAAAAACATAATCCTGAAATTTGGATTAGTATTAACCTCTTCCTCAGATGGGTGTGATGGTGCATTGTCTACTAATAGCAGTGCTTTACAGGGTTTGTTAATTCCTGTTAAAAATTCCTTGACCTCCGGTATGAAAGATGTTTTGAACCATTCCATAAATAGCGGTCTCGTCATCCATTCTTTGGTAGAAGCTTTGTATACAACCGGTAATGAAGTTTCATTTTTTAGTGCTCGTGGACGCGCCGCTTTTCCCAAGATCAACAGTGGTAACTTATGCGATCCCGCTGCGTTGCAGCACGGCATAAATGTTAAAAGGTCTTTCAAAATTTTTCGACCTGGTGCCGATTTTTCATCTTGATGGACCCAAGTGGTATCAGATAGAGTTCTCCAAAAAATTGCCGACCCATCAGCATTGTATACTTGCTCGTAACTTAATTGCATCTCTTTAACTAGAGCTCTAAATTTTTCCTGAAATGGTATCACGGCGGCAACATCACTGGAAAGTTTTTCGCCACAGACCTTCAAAAAACGGATTCCGTGCCTTAGCTTGAATTTGTCTAAACATCCAGAACTTGCTTTGGTACGTAATATTTCTGATGAAACAGGTATGTGCGCGTTTTGTTGTTGTAGAAACCAGTTGTACAATGCGACTTCAAGTTCAGGATGTTCTGCTTTCCGAATGATTCTCCTTTTGCCTACAAAAATAGAAGGAAGAATTGAATTAATAAAATATTACATACGAACTTATTGGTATTCCTACCTGAGCCTTGAAATGATTTTGAAATAAAGGTCCTTATTTTATCCTTGTTTTTTTTATATCAAACACTGTACATTTTGGAATACCAAACTGCTCTGCAATTCGACGTGTACTTTTTCCTGCATCAAGGCAATCTAATACTTTGAATTTTTCTGCCAGTGTGAGTGTCTTATGTAGTCGTTTTATTGAAGTCATTGCGTCCGGCACGCTTAAAAACCAAATGCGGAAAGTAAGATGGAGAGACGAGGCCGCCGCTGCGCCGTTTCTAACACTTGTTTAGACCGGAAAATTCTAGTATTTGCATATGAATATTTTTGTGCCCGGATTTCAGAGGCAAAATTGTCAAAATGCCCGAATCACAGCAGTGCCCGGATTACTGGAGTGTCCGGTCTAGCGACTGTCCGAACTATCGAAGTTATACTGTAGGTACTTAAAAGAATTTGTCTTATCTTATCATAGACTTTTTGGATTTTTATTTATTTCCAGAAATCAAGTTTTTGTTTATCAGAAAATCAATCATTAATTAGATATTGTTCAATTTCTTAACACTGGTTTAGGTAATCCTTTTTAAATATTGATTATAACATACCCCAGTCTTTCCTGAGCGTTTTGATATGCAACACAATAAATTTAACTGATTTATTAACACTTAGAACTGGTTCAAAGCAGGAGCATAAAATTAACCAAACTTCATGATTCTTATTGAAATATATCTGAAATTATTAGAAAACGCCATTTATTCAGCATTTCTGGAGTTGATTGAGAATGACGATAAGTACATAACAAACAACTTAATATTCCAGCAAGACGGTATACCACCCCATTTTGCACTGACTGTTTGTCAGTATTTGGATCAAATGTTTCCAGGTCAATGGAACGGAAGAAGAGGAAGTATTGGGTGGTCCCCACGGTCTCCGGATCTAACCCCGTTAGATTTTTTATGGGACCACTTAAAAACTAAAATGTATGCCACCCAGCCAATTTCACTAGAAAATCTGCGACAACGGATAATTGATGAATGTCATCAAATCACCCCCACAGATGCTTCAAAATGTACGAGAGCGTTTTGAACAAAACCTCTATTATTGCATGGAAGCCCAGGGTCAGCATTTACAGCATTAACTCGAGTGACTGGTAAGCATTTAAACAAAATAAAAAACGTTAAAAGATCATGGCTAGGAAGACAGTAGCGACGTAAAACTCGCGGGGTTATAATCTAGGTAAAAATACCTTTGAAATAAGATATTATTCGACCCCACTTTACATTAAAGATTTTAGGGGTGAGTCTCACACCCGCTAGAGGATTTCCGTTCAGGGGGTGAAACTGGCAATGTTTCCCACTAAAATCAAAAAATGACGGGTCCGAGCGTTTTTTCGTAAATGACCTGGGGGTGCTCAAAATTGGCTGTTTCGTTTTCAAAAGGCCACCATGTATATTAACATAAATGTATATTAACAATATGGATTTGGCAAAAAATGTATATTTGCTTTAGAGACTAAATTGAAAAAAAATTAAGATATGTCTTGTTTTCTTCTATAAAATGTAAAAGCACGACACTGTTTTAAAAGTGCATAAAAAATCATAATTAAACATAAAATTTAAATATTTTTTGCTTATCCAAAAACTGGAAAATTTTCTTGCAAATTCTCTTTCTGAATACCAGTACCTACCAACCAAACAACATTCTTATCTTATCATTCGACTTATGACCTGTTTAAATAATTCGAAACAAAAATTTAATTAGTTCTAAGGCATCAGTAGTTTCTTTATATTATTTATTGTATTATATAAAGTACAAATACATTTTGAATATGTCAGATCTGGTAAGCATATTGGAATTTGAAGAACACGCTTACAAATCTTTACCAAGAAATGTCTTGGATTATTACAGAAGTGGTGCTGGTAAACAGGAGAGTTTGAAAGCTAACAGAGCATCTTTTAACAAGTAAGTAAAATAAGTTTGATTACTTTATGTCAGTTTTATCCTAAATAGTTACGAATGATACTCTATATTAATAAAAATGTTCATAACAATCTAGTCCCGTTACAAATTTTCTCCACAATCCCCTAATTTTTGAAATAAATGGTAAAACAGGTCGATTTTTATTTTAAACGAGACATCTTCCTATCAAATAAGTTTTAAAAAACCCAACATTAAATTATCATTAGCAGAGAAAGTCATTAAATTTTAAAAACACAAAGTTAAATCACTATTGTATAGGTAGGTATTTAATGTACATTTGATTATTTTACAAACATTTTAAAATATGATAAAAACAAATAAGTGTGCGCACATAAGAGTCCTACTTGTGGAGGCTGCACAATAAAAGTACAATACTTATAAAATAAAGCTAATTCTTCTAATGTTTTATATGCAAAAGCTTCTTGTCGTCAAATTGGTTATTAACATTAGCTTATAATAAAAATAAAATTGATCTGTATCATCACAATATCCCTTATTTTTAGGTTTAAATTGAGACCAAGATGCTTAAGAAATGTAGAAAAAAGAGATTTGTCCACTATCGTCTTGGGACACAAAGTGTCTATGCCCGTAGGAATTGCTCCAACTGCTATGCAAAAGATGGCCCACCCACAAGGAGAATGTGCCAATGCCCGAGGTAAAAAAATACCTAAAAAATTGATATATTTTTACATCTCTACCCAAAAGAGTAATCTAATCAAAATAAATGTTTTAGTAATATTCCATATTATTTATAGTCTAAATATCGGGTCGGTGGTGTAGCGGTCTCACGCGCTTATATTCATTTATAGGCAAGTTTGTGGTTAAAGACAGAGGGGCTTCGAAACCTACCCCAAACCATGTGGATTTAATTATAATTTTAGCTGCTTCGTATTCCTGGGCTTCAATCAGTGTCTCACTCAACGTCTTGTGGTGTTGTAGCTAAAGAACCTACTGCATTTCCACATCCTGTAGTCCATCAATGAAAGCCTGTATGCCGATTTGTTCTAGGAAATCTTTGGGCGCCTATGGATAGGCCAAATGCAGCAATCTTTTTATATCGGCCTCGAATTCTTGTAGACTTTCATTGTGTTTCTGACTACGAATTTTTAGCTGGCTTCTGAATACCTGTCTTAACTGCTGCTGGCCATATCTTGCCTCCAAAGTTTGGAAGAGAGACGAATAACTGGGTTCTTCTTAGGGAAGTAACTGTAAAATGGTTGCTGTCAGTCCTCACAGCGACACTATCAATGAAGCCGCCATCTCTTTCTCGGCCCAGCTATTGGCTCTAGCTTCAGTTTCAAATTGGAGTCGATATGTTTCCTATGTTGACTGACCGTTAAAGGTGGGTGACTTGATTGTTTTGCTAGTATGCTTTTGTGAATCTGGGTTTCGAATGTGGCTTGGTTTGGTTATAGATGAAGACAAGCCAGTGTTTCCAGCTTCAATGTTGCTTACTGAAGGCTACAAATTGTTCTTTTTGTTCTAAATTAGCTTTTAAATTATCTTGTTGTTGCTTTAAATTAGCTTTTAAATTTTTTTGTGGTTGTTCTCAATTAGTTTTTAAATTATCTTGTTGTTGCTCTAAAATTGTTTTTAAATTATTTAAATTAGTTTTTAGATGCTCTTGCTGCTGTTCTTAATTAGTTTTTAAATTATGTTCTTGTTATTGTACTAAGAGATCTACTCAACTGTTAACCTGACCTACCTCTTGCTTAAGGTTTTCTTGAATTTATAACAAACCATTCATAATTTCCACATCTGCTTTTCTGCGACTTCCTACCTTCTCTTTTTCTTTTTGCTTCCTACGCATTTCCCTTTCCTCTTCTTCCTTCTTCCTACGCTTTTTTTTCTTCTTCTCCATTTCTGCGCCTTTTCTTGTCATCCTCTTCTTCCTTCCTTCCTGCGCTTTTCCCTTTCGTTTTCTTCCTTCTTCCTGCGCCTTTCCTTTTCGTCTCCTTCCTCCTTCCTGCACCTTTCCTTCTTCTCTTCCATCTTCAAAAACCATATTGGGTTACCTGAAGTATCCATGAATTTTATTTTAGATCACACCACTGTCACCAATTGTTACGCTGGTTTTTAGTAAACTCAAACTTTTACAATATATAACTCTTAACATTAAAGTACAACGTCTATTATCAAACCGAACTGACACGTCAGGATTATCGACTTATAAAGCTGCTTTGAACCTTCTCAAACCGTCCAAATGTTTATTGATACTGTATTACATTTCTAGACATTTCTAGACTATTCTCTCTTCTTCTTTTATCCGTACATTTCCTACAACAACCGCAGGCTACTGCAGGGTGCAGGGTACGTAACAGTATGTTACACTTGGCTATACTGAAATTTACTTTCCAGTGCACTTACGAACCTCATACTGCAGTGCTTTGTTTCACTTATTTCACTTATACCTTATCTAGCTTTACATTTGAATACGGTTTCAAATCGACATCTCTAAAACTGCCAATTTCACAAGGTTTATTTTATAACTGATTGTTTTGAACCACATAATATTTTTCTTCGTTTACGTAAATCCAATGTGCTGCTATCATCTATAGTTTATAGTTTTTTTATTAAGTCTCACTTCCTACCACTGTAGAACCTCAATAATTCCATATGTAATTAGGTATGTATACTGTATACCTTTAACACACCATTGTATTTGAAAACATTTTTTTTTTTTTTGTAAATTGTGGTATAGATTTCGTGTTTGATTTATTTCACAATAAAAAAAAAACCTATAACAATAATTTTAAACTAAATCTGTGTTAATTACACTGCTTTATATAATATCATCTCTTGATATTTAGCTTTGTGTTATTTAATTTCCTGTTTAACGCAATGATTTCATTTTACTAGAAAAAATATGCAAATTTATTAAAAATGCTTTTTTCTTTTTTTAGCTGCTCAAACTTTAGGAACGATATTTACCCTGAGTACCCTATCTACAAGTAGTATCGAAGAAGTAGCTCGAGCAGCTCCCCATGCTATTAAATGGTACCAACTGTATATTTACAAAGACAGGTATACAAAAAAATAATGATGCAATTAGGCATTCCAACGATCTGTCCAAATGGCTACCAGTGGGAGTGACAGTTTAGATATGGCAACCTTGTTGTCATGTTGTCACTAACAGGGTCAATGATGCATATATAGTTATATAGATTGCTCAAAGCTGGTCGTTTGCGAGCGGCCATATTGCCTGGCAAATATTTATTAATTTTCAGCCTTAAGATATTTAAAAAAAAATAATTGCTTACATTTTTACTTCAAGGCATAAGCCTATGTCTATTTTGTAAAATATGGATGATCAATCTATGTAATTATCTATTTCATTGACCTTGTCAAATCACAAGGCCTACAGGGTTGCCATAATTTTGCCATATCTGTCAAAACCCACTGGTAGCCATTCAGTTTGGAATGCCTAATACATAATTAAGGCCGCAGTATCACTGTATTTTTCATATAAGAAGCAAGGGTTCACCAGTTCCGATTGCATTTAAATCCCGCTAAATGTATTAAAATGAATCTTCTACCAGCTTAAAGCATAAGTTTTGGAGAACGAAATCTCCTATTTTTTATTTGTCCTGTTTATACACTGAATTTAAAAAAAAAATCATTAAAGTAATTTTAAAACCAGAGCTAAAATGTAGGAGATTTCATTCTACATATTTTTCCAAGTATCCCGCCAAAATATTTCTAAATTTTATTGCGTATTTTTCAAATCTAAGTGGAAATACGATTAACAAATAATTGATAAATTTATTTGTCAAATTAGAGATTTTCTATGAATTCCTGTAATTCATCTATTTTTAAGAAGATGTCATCATAAAAACCAATGTAGCTACTCTATTTTAGAGATGGTGTTAGAGGTACCAATTTTTGAATCAGTGATACAGCTGTATGCCGTCTTTTATTGTTTCGTGATTTTCATCTATATTTGTCTCTCTTGGTTCCGACTACAAAATTATCGATTTATTTTCCCTGTGTATGAACAAGTGTTGGCCACGTTGCCAGATTTATACGATACAATAATTTCACAATTCTTTCTAGGACGAATTTCATTTTAAAGTGGGTGAAATATACAATGGTGAAATGCAGGAAAGGGAAGGAACTTTATTGCATTCCGATGTAATTTGAATCCGAATGACCTGGCATCACTGTATAATACGCACGTAATATTTGCGGACTTGGCTTTCTTCTTCTGAATATTATTTTATCTTTATAAGGAATCTTATTTCTGAGTTAACACGTTGACTGCTATGTGTATGTACCCATGTGTAAGACCCATTAGTGCGTAATTGTTTAATATTTAAATTTGTGTTAAATATACGCAAACATGTTTCAAAGAAAAGTTATATGGATTTGAAAAATACATATTTTAAAAATATTTTTGGATATACAGGGTGTTACATTTTTGCCTGGCATATTTTTAAAATAAAACATGTATTTTATTTCAATTTTGGAATGGTTTGGTAATACTGTATTCAACCGTAGAATGATTTTAAAAAATATTACAGGTCTGCCAAGCAATTAAATTTTTATGAAATTAGAGAGTGATGCAGACCCCAAATTAAATTATCATAATTTAGGTAGGATTACATTGATTTCAAAAATTGTTTAATATACTGACTTATAGCACATTAAGATAACGAATAGTAGTGATAGTGCTAGATTTTTTTATAGCGAGTGTTTTGAAACATGTTTTAAATATGATTACTCAAATTTCTCAATTTTTTCAAAGGCAGCACCCGGTATAATATTTTAGCATATAATTCCTTATAAATTTGCATATCCAACGATACCAACATGTTAGAGTATAACATATAAACAGAGTGTCCCATCAGTGCGCAATTGATCGATAGCTGTTTTATTATTGGAAATAAGAAAAAAATTAATATAAAAGTTGTATGACTATATTTAAAAATTATTTCTATATATACAGGGTGGTCCATAAACGAGATGTTGACCAAGCCTATACATTTTTAAAGCAAAACACCCTGCTGGTAGTTATACATATTTGTTTTCACGTCATCAAATAATTTTAATTGACTTCATTCATTTGCTATGTTATATACAGGGTGTGTCAACACGCGAGGTTACAAATGTTTAAATTTTTTTCAATGGAATACCCTGTATTGATTAATTGGTGGCATAACATACAGGGTGTTCCATTTAGAAAATTGAGAAAATCGTAATCATTTTGACACACCTTATATACAACATAGCAAATGAATGAAATTGAAATTATTCTTCGACGATGTGAAAACAATCAAATATGTATAACTATCTGTGAGGTGTTTTACTTTAAAAATGTGTAGGTTTGGTCAGATAATCGTTTATGGATCACCCTGTATATTTATGAATAATTGTTAAATATGTTCATATAACTTTTATATTATTTTTTTCGTATTTCCTATTATAAAACTGCTATCGATCAATTACGCACTCATGGGACCCCTATGTATGTGTTATTGACTAAAATATTGGTATCGTTGGATATGTAAATTTATAAGGAATTGTATGCTTAAATAATATACAGGGTGTGGCATTTGAAAAAAATTAAATAAATTTAACTTGGAATTAGCCATATTTAAGACTTATTTTTCAAAACACTCTGTATAAAATAATCTAGTTCTATCACCACGTTAGCTTAGTATGTTATTACTACATTTAAAAAAAAAATTAAAATCATTGTAAACCTGTCTAAATTATGATAATTTAATTTGGGGTCTGCATGGGGTCTGCATCATTCTCTAATTTCATAAAAAAAATAATTTATTGGCAAACATTATCTCCGCAATATGTCATAAGTTGCATACACACAGTATGTCTATATATAGAAAACTTTATTATTCATTTTTCGAAAAAATAGTTATTCTTCATAAAAATGTATGCATGGTCTAACAGAAAAAGTAACCACCCGATATCAAATTTTATCAGTCGGTTTTACATGGTTTGTCAAAAAATATGATTTTGCTCAAGATAAAATACCTTTATTTTCGACAAACCCTGTATACGACTGATATAATTGATATCAGATAATTGACTTCTAGTTTTTAGACCATGCATAACTTTTAATGCAAAGTAACTTTTTTTCTAAAATTAATAGACCATGCAATTGTTTATGAAAAATGAGTTTTTTCTTAAAATTCTTAAAAAAGTTTTCCGTATGCCGCCAACTTAAATATAAATGAGATTAAATTTTTTGAAAATAATTTTTACTGATGCAGATCTAAATAAAGTATTGTGGGTAAATAAGGTATTAAAAAAACTTTTTTATTACATTTTTCGTTTTTTTTTTAGGTTCTTTGGCTGTAAGACCTTTCGGGCATTCAATTAAGAATAGGAGCAACTGAAGATTAACTGATTAGAAATAAGCCGATTAAACGAAACATTACTCGTTTCCGAAAAACAGGGTTTTAAAGCTGAAAATCAAAAATTATGAATAGCTACAATTTTTCTATTACTCAGTTTAATTTTACTAAATTCGGCAAACGTTATTGGTGTAATAAAATACACGTATCAACAAAAAAATAAGTTAAATAAGCTTTGCCAGTGGCGTACGTCGTGAGCAAGTAACATCTTTTTCTCTTCTAAATTTTAGTCCACAGTCCAAAAACTTTTCACATAAAGTTGACTTAGTTTTTGAGATATTCGTACATATTTGAAAATTCTGAAATTTTCAAATTTCGATTTTTTTTTTATTAAATTTCTAAGAAGAGTACATTATTTATTTGAAAACATCAAAAAATTTAAAATTTTATGTCCAAATAACTTTTTGGATAGTACGCCACATTTTATCTAAGCATGATTTGTTTAGTTGTCTTATTTTTAATCAGAGAATCGTCAGTTGTTCTATGTTCCATTCTTAACGAAATACCATCTATAGTATAATAGGTCTCTACGTAATGATACGAAGACCTTTGTCATTTGTTGACTGGACAGAAGAATGAACTATTAAGTAAATATAAATATACCAATGTACCGAATCTAATCCAAAACTTTTATTTAGGTACCTGCTACATCGAAAATATTTGTCAAGGTCAAGAACTCGTTTACTTATCATCGCGTAGTGGCTAGGGGTGATTAATTTGTTATTTTATAACAGTTACCGTTTAGAATTAATAAAATTATTACGCCATATGTTGAACAAAATGACATCTATCAAAATTAGTTTATGTTACGAATAGTGGGGGTGGTACTGTGGCCTTAATCTTAAAAAGCTATCTTAATAGGAATGTTTTCGCACAATTTTTCTTTTTTTTTTAGAAATGTGACCCGTGATTTGGTAATGAGAGCAGAAACAGCTGGATATAAAGCTTTAGTTCTTACTGTTGATGCTCCAATCTTCGGTATGCGTTTAGCAGATTTGAAAAATAAATTTAGCCTACCTTCTCATCTTACGTAAGTATATGTGTTTTACATTCTAGTTAAAAATGAATTTTCTCGTCTCAAATGATGAAAAAGAATTTACATGCAAAAAAGAATTGTGCTACTTGACGAAAAGAAGCCCGATTTTTTAAATTGATGTAAAATCGGAACAGTCTGTATCTGTATCTATAACGTTTGGATGGTGAGTTAACCACGGCACTTAGGCTTCACTAGGCCCATTGTACATCCTCCTAAGTAGACAGACACCTCCTAGCTCGTGTGCCAGCCTACAGATTTAATGTAGTAGACAACGTCGCCCAATAATCAATACTGAATATAAAATTATGTTTCTTACAATTTTAAAATTTTTATCTTGATATTTATACACATTACTTTAATTTATTTATATTTTATTAAGCAAACCAATAAATTGCGACCCAAATGTTTTCTTTTAGTTTGGCCAACTTTCAAGGCCTCAAAGCAACAGGTATACAAAATAGTAAGCAAGGTTCAGGTTTGAACAACTATGTCACTGGTCTCTTCGATGCAACACTCAATTGGGAAGATGTTAAATGGTTGAAAAGTATCACCAGCCTACCCATAGTTCTTAAAGGTATTTTAACAGCCGAAGATGCCATTCTAGGAGTAGAAGCAGGTGCTTCTGCTATACAAGTTTCCAACCATGGTGCCAGGCAGATCGATGGAACAGCCTCATCGGTAAATAAAAGATACAGACTAAGGGTTAAATAGTTGGAGAAATAAATACATTTATCAAAATGTATTTGCGGTATTACAACCCTATTCAGGTTTTTCTTTTTTGGTTGAGGCTGGCGTAATCTTTAATGCTTTCAATGCTATGTTTAGTTTTAACACCCCAATAAGATGTTGGATTTTCCAATGATCAGAATCTTTAATTACAGTATATCCCAAATAAAAGTTAAGGGTTTTAGTATAATTATTATTGCTTGTATTATTAACCAGTGACAACTGGTACATAAGTGCTGTAGAGCTACAGAACTGAAAAAAAAATGCAAGTATCTCATCTACATTTGACAGACATTATTTTATACATTCTAAAATATACATAAAATAAATTTTATGAATAATCTTATTAATTTTAATTATTAAATAATAGTGTGTGTGCGCTGCACCACTTAGCCGCCCGTTCATCGTCTCCTATAGTAATTAGAATACATGTTGTTCTTGCAGTCATGATAGGCATATGCCTGTCAAAAAAGATTAATTAACAAGTTTGCGAACGTCGCAGAAGCATTTCTGAAATAAAAATTTGATATCTTTCAGAAATATTAGGTAGGTACATAGTAAAATATTTCAGAAATGTACTCTAGTTTTGTTTCATAAATATTATGAAACGTTGTAGAAACGTTTCTGAAATATTTCTGTAATATTAATGCAAAATGAATGCGATATTACACTGTAATATTTTTATTCGACTAAAAAAAGACGTTTAAAAATATAGACACATTTAATTAAAATTCACAAAACACAAACATTGATTTTTAAACAAACAAACCGACAACAAACACATGCTTTTAATTAATTTAGATCATAGGGTGGTCTCCGGATATAGGAGACATTTTTCATTGTGTCTTGGCCTTTTTACAACATAACCCGTTTTGTAACCTTCCGTGTAACATTTATAACATGTTTCAGAAACAATTTCAGTGAAATATTTAACTAAAATATTTCAGAAACTTTTGCTTGAAATGTTATATGTTTGAAATATGTCTGAAACACTTTTGAAATAATGTGAGCTGTATTGGCAATAGGCCTATTTCCTATTTTCTTGGATTTAACAACTATCCCAGCCTTTTTTGTTTGAATATCCGAGGTCCGAGAGACTGATGTTTTAATATTAAGCAAAAAAACATAAAACTTGACACTTGAACGTACTAACAAATATTATTTTAATGAAAATGTTACAGAAGGGCATTAAAGAAAACATAAACGAATCTCTTGTTCCCAATATTATAATTTATCTTCTTTTTTTAAATTTTGGTGTCATCGGCATCAACTACTAAGGTTATTAGCCTCGTGTTCTTTGTAGGCTTTGTTACTGTTTCCCAGCTCCACTTTAGGAATAGCACTGTTAATTAGAACCCAACAGTGAATGGTCGTGTGGGGAATCCTATCAAGGCATCAGAATTAATTTTAAATAATTAAATTAAATAAAAAAATCCCGGCTAACGGTGAGATTCGAACCCGGGACCCTTGGATCCGCAGGCAGAGACTATACCACTGAGCCACCCATAAATATAAAATCTTCTTTTTTTTAATAGTTTCCAGGTAAACTATATAGTGAGAAAACAACTTATAGAATAACATTATTTTTGGCGTTATTTTAAAAAATCGTGAAACATGTTCGGACGCGTCAAATTTATGAGACATTTTATGACATAAAAAAATCTGCCTTTCTTTTAATACCCTCCACATAACAGCCCCACCCCATCAATTGTTTTTATATAGCAAGGTAATTTAATGCACTACATAACATTGTCTTAATTAAATCAAAAATAAACTTAAAATTAAAAAAAGGTTGCGTTATTTCTAATTTTATTTTGTTGCGGGTTGAGTGTAATATGGAGACATTTAGATTAATGTTATGTAGGTAATATATTGAATTACTGATAAAATTAGCTTGAAAATGAAGTGTCACACTTTATAATACCTACATGCCAATTTTTTATCATGCTATGTGATGTATAACAGAGTTCATTACTCTGAATTCTCCAAAAAATTGACATATATTTCTATTTACAAAATTGGGAAAAGGCTGTCACGTGGAGGGAGTTAAAAGATGGCAGAATTTTTGTTATAAAATGCCATAATAGATGATTTCAACGGAAGACATCTTGAAGTTGCAAGGTCATTGGAAGATCTTTGCGCCATCTATAAGTTTACATAACAACTAATAAAATAAAAAAGAAAACTGTAAATTATTATTTTGGCAATCTGTTTAAGGTTACGGCGTCGGTATTCATTTTTTTCTTTTTTTTGTCTTCTTCATTAGTGGTACGTGCTCAGTTTTTCACCATCTCTATCTACTTAGGGCCAGGTCCCAGAGTCTTATTTTTCTTAGTCATGTGTCATGTCAAAATTTGTAAGAACATAAAACGACCTAACGGCGATAGTGAGAGTGAAAACTAAAGAAGAAGGCAAGAAAAAAATAGGAAATTTATACTTAACGCCGCTGTAACTTTAGACACATTGCCAAAATAATAATTTACAGTTTTCTTTTTTATTTTATTAGTTGTTATGTGAACTTATAGATGGCGCAAAGATCTTCCAATGACCTTGCAACTTCAAGATGTCTTCCGTTGAAATCATCTATTAAAATACAAATTGCCGTAACAGGTTATTTTAAATAAAAATTACAAAATTGATTATTGTTTAGATCAGAACCATCTAACCGTAGTCACTCTAAAACAACATTGTGCCATTGAAGATACCTAATTAATATTTCTGAAGCTTTAATTCTAATTCTTAATGGCGAAACTTTCTAAAATATTTTACTCGTCCATTTTTACAGAATTTAAATTTTTTTTTACAAAATATTTCTAATATATTGGAAAAATACAATATTTGTATAACTCAATGAAAAATAAAAAAATTGGTAACAAAAATATATACCTAGGTATTACTACAAAACAGCGAATACCGGGTGACAATAAGGCCAGGGAATCCATTAATACGTTAATATATCTTTAATTTATAAAGCGATTTAGATCAAATTTGGGACAAATCTAATAGACATAATTTTCTCCTAATATATGCTTATAATTAAACAAAATGACCGACTTCCGGTTTAACCGGAAATTTCATTGAGTTTGATTCTTTTAAAAATCACACTATATTGTGATTTTTGGAATCTACAGGTCAAATTACTTGCATCCCAGACAACACACCAAATCCCAGAGATATCCACAGAATATCTTTTGTGGATATCCAATATATCCACAGGATATCATAAATATCCCGTGGATCTAATATGGATATCCAAATGTCCGTCTATGTCCAGGATATAGAAGATATCCTACGGATATTAAGCAAAATATCTAATGGGTATCTCCCAGACAATACACGAAATCCCAGAGATATCCACAGAATATTTTTTGTGGATATCCAATATATCCACAGGATATCATAGATATCCACTGGATCCAATGTGGATATCCAAATGTCCGTCTATATCCAGGATATAGAAGATATTCTATGAAAATGCAGCAAAATATCTAATAGGTACCTTTAGTAGAGGTTTATAAGTAACCAATGGATATATCCTATAGATGTTTAACATATCCAGTGTACATCCATTATTTGATATATTTAAGATATCGAAAATTATATGTCTGTGTCATATTTAATGCTTCATTATTTTTTTTTTTTTTGAAAGATAAGTATTGTTCCACTTATCTTTCATGGCGTATACTTTTTTAAATTGTTTCGTCCGTAAAACTTTAAGAACTTCTTTTTCTTATAGCTGTCTTGAAAATACAAATCATTGTTCATTAGAAAATTTTGGAAAAACTCCTGCCTTAACCTAATACACTGTATAATAGAAACTGTTATCTCAGGCATTATTAATTTATAGAAAGGCTTTTTTAGATCGAGGTTTTGCCCGAAATAGTCAAAGCTGTAGGCGACAAAGTTGAAGTATACTTCGATGGTGGTGTCACCGATGGAACAGATGTCCTTAAGGCTGTCAGTTTGGGAGCTAAAATGGTCTTCGTTGGACGCGCTGCCTTGTGGGGATTAGCCTATAATGGTCAGGAAGGAGTTGAAAAGATTCTTAATATTCTTAAGTCTGATTTGTCTACTGCAATGGCACTATCAGGTAAAAAAATAATTTCATTTTAAATTCAAGATATTGTTTTTAATGAAAGTATAATCGTTCTAATATGAATTGAATAAGTGTATAAGTATAATAATTCAATATTTATTTTTTAAGAATAATTGTATGTATCTTCTGTTAGATCCTAAATAATCTGAATGTGTCATAAACCCATGCATAGTTGAATTTGAAGTTTGTCGTAAAATGAAGGTATAATTTAAGAAAAACTGTTTTAATGGTTAATGTTTCAATGATTTGGTTTATTGAAATGATCAGAAATTCAAATATCGTTTTTCTCAAAATATACCTTTATCTTCCAATAAAATGCCGAAATATTAAAAATAGCCAAAAGAGTGCACTCTAGACTAATTTGACCCGATTTTCTGAACGAGAGTAGCTAAATGTCTAAATTGAACGCTCTACTGTTCCTGAACGAACCAAGAGCAAATTGAGCAAGCTCTTTTTGGTCGGAGCGTGTTTCCTGAACGCGCTCCTGCGCATCCATCAGTGCCTCGATTCTCGACTTTGTAGGAAATCAATTCCTATAGTACAAATTCCTACGAGTATTTTCCTACGACTTCAATGACATGTATTCTCGAGTCAAATAGGAATCTGAAATCCTATAGGAATTGAAAGTAGGGTATGTCTGTGATAACTTCAAACAGTAATTTAAAACCACCAATCACCTTCGGTAATTTTGTATAAAATTTTAATCCTACATGTTGGTAGATGTGGGTATTGTGGGCAATTTTAAAACTTTTGGTTATATACTTAGATAAAACAAGTTATATATATTTTGATTTTATTTTTAAATTTCGTGGTTAGTTTGATTTTATTTAGGTACATAGTTTTTGATTTGTCTGTTTGTTTTATATCTAAATTAAGAAATACTGACATAAGATGAGCGAAAATAGAAAAAGCGATTTTTTGTAAGAACAGAAACGTAAATTAATAGCGTTCCTTGAGCATGATGACAAGTTATAAAATAATAAATTTAGTAACATACAACTGAAAAAAATCATTCAATATTTAAATGACAATGGTATTCAAATGACAGCAATGAGAATTGAGAGCCTTGCGCACGTCCGCAAATGTCAAAACACCAAATTTCTACAGCCAAACCCCATAAGAATTCATTCTATAGGAATTAATTTCCTATAGGTATATCAAGAATACCAAAACTTGATTTTCATAGGAAAGTGACTTATTTCCTATAGGAATTAATGTCGAGAATCGAGTCCCTGGGGGTCGATTCTCGACTTGTAGGAATTTTTTCCTATAGGAATTTTTGACATTTTTCTATACATAGAAAATTTATGACATTTCCCTACATATAGGAAAGTGTCACAAATTCCTATAGGAAATGGTTCCTACAAGTCGAGAATCGACCCCCAGGGGCTCGATTCTCGACTTTGTAGGAAATAATTCCTATAGTACAAATTCCTACGAGTATTTTCCTACGACTTCAATGACATGTATTCTCGAATCAAATAGGAATCTGAAATCCTATAGGAATTGAAAGTAGGGTATGTCTGTGATAACTTCAAACAATCATTTAAAACCACCAATCACCTTCGGTAATTTTTCATAAAATTTTGATCCTACATGTTGGTAGATGTGGGTATTGTGGGCAGTTTTAAAACTTTGGTTATAATAGGTCTGTTCGGGTTCTTTAAAATACATTGAAAACTATCAGAGGACTAGTTGACCAGTGGACAGTTTAATAGTTGTGTGCGACGTATACTTTATAATTGAACTGTTCCACTAGTTCTCGGACGGTTTGCATCGAGTTTTAAGGAAACCCGAACAAACCTAATATATATTTTGATTTTATTTTTAAATTTCGTGGTTAGTTTGATTTTATTTAGGTACATGGTTTTTGATTTGTCTGTTTTATATCTAAATTAAGAAATACTGACATTGTGGTGTACATAAGATGAGCGAAAATAAAAAAAATGGGTTTTTTGTCAGAAGAACAGAAACGTAAATTAATAGCGTTCCTTGGGCATGATGAGAGTTATAAAATAATAAATTTAGGGCCCTATTCAGTAATTTATCGTTTATGGACGACATCGTTAAGCTAACGACAGTTCAACCAACGACTTTTATAACGTTAATGTTTAAAGTGTTACAGTTAAATACCGCCGAAAATATGCATTTTATAAAAAAAAGTTTCAGACAAAAGTTTTATAGTTTTTTGGAGGAAACATTTTGGCTAAATTCATTTTTCTATAGCTGACCCATAATATGGCCATATCGAGGTGGATTTTTTTTCAAATTTGAACCCTATTTTTTTATATAGGTATTAGAATTCATAAAAAAATAAGGAACTTCAAAAGGAAACATTTTTTTATTGGAATTCTACTTCGCGAAAAAAAAGTTGGCCATATTATGGTTAGCTATAAAAAAAACGATTTTAGCCAAAATTTTTTCCCCAAAAAACTATAAAACTTTATTTTTTATATAAAAGGCGGCATTTAACTGTAACACTTTAATTTGAACACCCGGTATATTTGACATTTTTTTGGAACGTAAAATAAAAATTCTACCAGTAGATATATTCATTTGTTTTTCAGAATATATTAATTATTCTTAACCTACAACCCGATCAGGGGGTCGATTCTTGACTCGTAGGAATTCTGTTTCTCGCGGGCCATTTGCTGGTGTATTGTATGTAGGGTTTATTTAAATGAGTATGGATATATTAAAAAAAAACAGAACTAGTCCAAAAGAATACAAAAAACAACTCGAGAACAGTACGAGTTGTATTTATTGGATTTGAAAGACAGAAACAAAATTTGATACTATCAAACCTGCTTCCTGGCAACTCAGGCCATTAGCCTCGTTTTCTGTTTAGGTTACAGAGTAGTATTATTATAATAAATAGGTACTTCCATAATATAGGTTTTATTACTGTTTCGCAGTGCTACTTTAGGAACAGCACTGTTAATAAGAATCCAATAGTAAATGGTCGAATGGGCAATACTAACTTTGAATCAGATTTATTTTTAAAATAATTAAATATTATTAGAAAAAAATTTCTTACAAATTGTACTTGCTATATTAGGTAGATGGCAATTTAGTTGTAAAATTTGTAAAAAAAGTGCTTTTATTATTTAAAACACATCTTTGCTCACGATAAAAAATGGGAGGGAATGGAAAAATCACTTTAACGACACTTCATATTATTAACGACAGCTCTGTGGCTACCGTTGATGAACGACAATTTTACAACCATATTTGTCTATTTTCAACGATAATCGTTGTCTACTGAATAATAAAAGTTGTCTGTGAACGATTATCGTCTATTAACGACGTCGTTCAGAGTTACTGAATAGGCCCGTTTTAGTAACATACAACTGAAAAAATCATTCAAAATTTAAATGACAATGGTATTCAAATGACAGCAATGAGAGTTGAGAGCATTGCGCACGTACCGCAAATGTCAAAACACCAAATTCCTACAGCCAAACCCCATAGGAATTCATTTTGTAGGAATTAATTTCCTATAGGTATATCAAGAATACCAAAACTTGATTTTCATAGGAAAGTGACTTATTTCCTATAGGAATTTATGTCGAGAATCGAGTCCCAGGAGTGTAGAAATTATGCGTTTTCACATGTAAATGACAAGGAGAGGTTGCCCTAAAGCACTGTATACAAATTCCAGGATTGGCTTCGTTCAGCGATTATGTTCATGTTCAGCTCTGTTTTTTGTTTGTGTTGTGGCTGTTGTAAGCTTCTTTGGCGTCAATTCTTTGTTATCTTGCGTATATTTGTGATTTTTGTGCTTTTATTTCGATTTAGTATTAAATTATACGTGTTAATTATTTTCCGATGCACTATTTTATAATTGTTGCACAAAATGTTGTTGAACCGTCCCTGAATCTTGTTTACAAAATGTGCAAAACGAAATTGTGCATAGACTGTTTCATTGACACTATTGACAGTTATCATTCTACCCCTCTCCACTTCATTGTACGTCACTTTATTCCAAAAATGTCCAAATAGTATTGAAAATGGTACTGAATTGAATATTTTGTCGATAAAATACGTCACTTTATTCGAAAAATCCAAATAGTACTGAATTGACTATTTTTAACAAAAAAGGTACTAAAACTAACAACGTGACACTGACGTACTGAAAAAGTACTGAATTCAGTACAAACGTACTGAATCTGGCAGCCCTGGAATGGTGCCCAAGGGTAGGCAGCTTTACATACACATATGTATATCGGGTTATCGTAGTGGTAGGGTGTTACAGGTTTCCATTAATTTCTTGCAAAATAACGAAGATCAGTATATACGCCTACTGGGCAGTTGAAATCTTCGGTTGAAAGGTTTTTGTTAAAATATTCAATTCATATTAGATAAAGTATACCTATGTACAACTATGTTCACACTATTTTTTATTTTTCTTTCAGGCTTTTCCAAAATTAGCGAATTAGAACCAAATTTGGTAGTCCATGAATCTTATTATTCAAAATTATAAGTCTTAAATTATTGTACTTAATTTACGGGGTAAATATAATAATTATATTTTATATATTTTTTTTTATTTTTTCAAAATAAAAGGTCAAATATATTTAATAAGGTAAGTTCAAATTAACCACTCTCTCATTTATGCTTAAAAGATACGTTAGAATTAAATTAAGAAATAAGTCTACAATTCCATACTCCATCGTTCCCACTGTGCCTCTAGCTGCCTTCTTGCCATGGAGGAAGGAAAACATTTTTACATTAATAATGTCATTTTAATATTCGTTTAGTAATTTAAACTTCGTTTAACACAACAGTGGAATCGGCCCTAATTTCATTAGGGCAAAAAATAGGTATATTCTATAAGAAACGGGAATATTTCACTTTATCGTACATTTTAGTAAAATCTAGTACATTTTATTGCTTCTGCTTGGTACATTTCAGAAACTTCGCGCGGCAACACTGATAATAGTGGGAAACCCATACGTAAATTTCTAGACCATTTCTAACCTCGAAATCAGTAACATGTAACATATATGCCACGTGCGTTTCCTGTTTGTTTTTTACATTATTTCATTGTTTCACAAATTGAAAAATAAATAGTTTCACAGTACCTAGAGAGTACAAAATACATAATTTTCTAGTTCAAAAGCGTTTAATTTAAAATGTGTTGTGCGTAAACATGGAAGAATCGTCTTCAAATTACAGTATAAAATAACTTGTTTCGGCGATTTTGCAAAAGATGGACCTATCAAAAGTTATTCAGCCTGTAAGTACTAAATTATTTTAATTTTTCCGTTTCTAGTTCTGAGAAATAAAAAAATATGTTCTAAAGAAAATTGAAATAAGAGTTAGAGTTGACTAGTGGGGTCTGGGGCGTACTCACTAGACAGAATCTTGCATTTTTGTGGTATGATGTGTATAGTGCACGAATATTTATTTTATTTACAACCATATATGTAATATTGTCATTACTAACGTTATTAAAGGTTGGGAAGTGTCACATTACACACCTCTACTTCCCGCCCTCATTTTATCTATTCTAGATGAATATTTTTTATATTTAAAAAAAATAACACATTTTTTTGACAAATTTTATAATACCTATTTAATGGCAAACAATAAAAAACAACAATGAACTAAAATATAACAAATTATTGATATTTATTATTATAGAATTTAATATCCGGCTTTATCTGACATTTATTTATATTGGTGACAGTTGTTTACCCCGTAATCACAGTAACAATATATTTACCTACTTGAATATTCTGAGAAAACCGCGCGCTTGGTATAATTTGTCGTTAAATGTAATATTTTAGGTATGTTCAGAACAAAACAGAGATTTATTAACTTTGATCGAAATATGATGGTTGTAAATAAAATATATAGTATACAAACCTCGGTAGGAAGTTTCATTCCTGTCTCGAGATCATAGCTTCGCGTCTCGGTGATCTAATTAATCTCACGACAGGAATGAAACTCTTCCCACCTCAGTGTGTAATATACTATTTCCAACTTGGGGGACGACGTAATTCCGCATACTTTTCATCCATGGGTAGCTTGATTTCTTGATTGTTCCTAGTAAATAAAATATTTTATTAATACTTTAGATTAAAATATCTCAAAAGTACCTATATATATAACTTAACCTTTTTAATTTTGGATGTACCTATACTTAACAAATTAGCTAATCATAATCTGTCATAATTCATAATATACCTATTATACAGAGTGTCATTGAAAATTTTGACGTAAAGTAGCTTTTGGAGTGAAGTAGGGAAGGGTAGTGGGAAGAAATGTATGTTGAATTTCAAAGGTATAGGTTATTCCATATAGTTATTCAGTATACATATTTTATTTTTTAAACGGAATCATGTAGCAATTTTAAGCATCCCTCTATCTTCATGTTGCTGCCCAGACAGCACTAATATGTCATTCGGAAGGGTTGCCACCTTTTTGAAAAATTAATGAAAGGTAGGGTTGCCAGATTTACGAAAGGGAAAAGCGGAACAACATTGATGACAGGGATCTGGTTAAAATATTTTTGGTGAGCTCCTAAAAAAAAGGTCATCATCAGCTTATATTTTAATAAACTCCTGGTCCTTCTGCCGTAAAAAGGACATTTTAAGCTTTAAAAAGTCACAAGGATAATTTGTTTGAAAAAAAGGACATGTGGCAACCCTAATTGGAAGTACATTATCGATAAATATTTTTGGATGTCGGAATGACCAAAAATTAGTTTTTTATGGACTTCTGATAACCAGTGCACGTCCAGTGGAGTACACAAATGTCACATATTTCCAATGCACAACTGCAACTTAACACACTATATTATAGAATATTAATAATTATTTATTTCGCACCCTCCACTCCGACCGGCACAGCGGTGCAGCGTTGAAAGCCGTGCATCGTCTAACGTCGTTTCAGTTCGGCAGACTTCGGCACGGTGTTTGTGTGCGTGCGACTAGACATATGAGTGTAGACTAGCTGCTAACTGCTCATAACTGATTCTATCTCTTTTAGACACTATTTCGGAAAATTGAATTTAAAAATGAATAATGATCCATAAGAATCCACAACAAAATATGGGACCACCATTGACGCGGTATTTTCCAGATATTTAGAGGATATCAAGTCTCAAACTTATGTTTCCTATTTCAGTTACCATAAACCTATAGTTTCAATGATAAAAATTCCTGAATAACCTACATGTACGTAAGATAATAAAAATATTTTAAACAATATTAACTTCTCATTTATTCAATAAAAGAAAAAAATTTGTTTTCTTATCGGTCACCACTCTCAAAAAATCAAAGAAAAAAAATGCTATGCAATAGCTTTACCGCGGCAGTCTCGGAGTGCCACACGTATTTTTTTTCTTTTTTTTTTCCTTTTCTTTTTCTCTTTTTCCTTTCTTTTTCTCTTTTTCTTTCATTTTTTCTTTCTTTTTCTCTTTTTCTCTTTTTCTTATTTTTCTTTCTTTTTTCTTTCTTTTTCTCTTTTTTTTTTTTTTTTTTTTTTTTGTTTGAAAGGTTGAAATAATTTTACATAAGGACATTTATTTATATTAGGTATATATTTTAAGAAAAATTTGCAAATGATTCCGTTAAAAAAATCATCTAATATTTCATCATCATATATTGCTCATGTGGCGCCCTCTGTAATACAATTTATAATTATAAATGAAATATTATCTTAGGCTGTGGGCCATTAAATATGCACATCCTGTATTTATTTGATATTGGAATCATAACAACCCTTGAAAAAATGTGTGTACCTATTTAAATTCAAATGCATACTTGTCGTATAACATGTCAACATTGTCAACATTAAAATTGCATGTCCGCCGCTGGAAACATTTCCTACTGCCATGTAGCTCCGAAAATCTCAACAAATAGTGATGGGAAAAAGCGTTATGTTCATTTAACAGTTACAACTTTACTGTTATTTTTAAATAACATTAAAATAACAGGTTGTCGTTATTTTTAACATCTAGTGGTTGAACTAGGAAACTACTTAATAACGAAATAACAATACCCTAGTCCCCTGACTATTCAACAATTTCTTAATGTCAGTAGACTTGGAATGGTCCAGAGTCCAGCGCCAGAAGTAAAAAAATACCTAAATAACGATTGCTATTGTAGCGTTATTAAAATAACGCTTGTAATGGACGTTATTTAGAGAGATCGGGCAAGCACCAATAGGGTCCTTACGCTAATTACCAACTACGTCATTTTCGAAATACCGAATGCATGCAAACGTGATTTTGTAGAGAGTTCGGGCAGACTAAATTTATTTTAGGTTTAACGTTATATTTTCGGGTATTTTCGATTTGACCATTGTTTTGAAAGCATTGACTTGACGCTTTTTGTTCTTTGTTCCTATTATTTCATTTTGATTTGTTTAGATCGTGGAAATCGTAATTTAGATTTATACATTTGTGTGGATTATTTTTTTTAGAATTAGCAATATTGGCAAGGGCGGATGATGATATAGAGTTCAATATACTAAATAATATTTTGGAAAATGATAAAGAACCCCATGGTTTAAATAAACTTAAATAAAATAATAAATTTCCATAAAACACTCCTAACAATGATTCAGCAATATTCTGCCTCTTCCCAATGTACTTTAAAAAACTACAATTACAAAAAATGTTTAAAATGTCACTATAACATTTTAAAACTACTACGAACACAATAGACGCCAAAACAAACAAATGCAAACAAACCCAAGCCAAACAGAAACAAGAAACCGGGAAATCGTTTCAAAAGACAAATGACAAGCGGCATACCACTATGGATGATATTAAATTCGGATACATTCGGCTTCCCTTATATTTCATAAATCCCTTCCGCAAACTTAGGGAATTAGCGTTTTGCGATAACGGTAATAGGGTAATTATGTAAATATTTTGATATGCGCATGCGTAGATGTCAAATAATACCGTACGCAATTAGCGTATCACGGTATTGGTGCTTGCCCGATCTCTCTATTGCAAATTAACGTTCTCGTTAAGTCGCATTTCGCGAGGAAGCAATCGCCAACCGTTTTGTGTTGTGGCGTTATTTTACACCTGTTATTTTTGAACTAGATTAACAGTTGTAACTGACAGTCCTAACTGACACATAAAAAGAAGAAGAAACTACGCTCCGACATGAGTTAATTTTTACGAGGGCAATTTTAGAAACACGTGGATCACTCCCTATACAGTGCTTCTCAAAAGTCCCCTCCCCCCCTATTTTGAACGGTGATACTTAGACTGATGAAATTTGGAGGGTGAAAATGAACTATTAGGCATTCCAAACAAATGAATTACCAGTGGGCAGGTTTGGTATATCTAAGGGTGGCGACATATGGTGTATTCTATCTACTTTACGTAAAATCATGAATAATGGATTACATTTAAATATTTTATGTCAAACACAATAAAAATTATATTTAAAAAACCCACCTATACATTTCTTCATAAATTGGCAGGCTTGGCGAGTATTACTTCGAATAAAAATAGCGTCCAAGTTGCAAGACTATGTCGCTACCCCCTTAAATATACAAGAATTTCCC